GAGGCTGAGGCAGGAGGATTGTTGCAAGTTCAAGACCAGCCTGGGTTACAAAGTGAGCTCAAGGCCAACCTGAATTGCATAGTGAGACACTGTCTCAAAAAAAAAAAAACCCTATATATATATATACATAAATATGTATATATCATAACATTTCAGCCCTGCCCCTCAGAAGACTCATGCACATCCCTTTATGCACAAAGCATTTCTTTAGTCCATTTCTGAGAGTTGCCAAAGTCCTCAGTTTCAGCATTGCTGAAAAATCCAAGTCCAAGATCTTCTCTGAGTTTTCAGGCAAACTCTTAGCTCTGAGCCCCTGTAAAAATGAAAAGAAAGTTAAATACTACTGATGTACAAAGGCACAGGGTAAACATTCCTATTCTAAAAAATAGAAGGGAAAAAAGTAATGGGACCAAAGCAAGACCAAAACCCAGCAGCGCAAACTTTAAATTCTGCAGGTCTGTGTCCAGCAATAGTGGTAACGTGAACTCCAAAGAGCCTAGATGGCACAGTCCCTATAGCACTGTAAGTGGTCACAGCCCTCAGAGCCTCTCTCTTGAGCTAGCTTTGCTCACTTCTTGTGCTTTTCTTCAGATGATTAATGCTCCTGGTTTCTCCAACCTTCTGGGCTCTCCACTGCATCTTTGGCTTCACACAGATTCACATACTGTCCTCTTAAGGGCACACTGCCTGGCCTCCTGAGCCTTCTTCTGAAATCTTGAAGGAAGCCTTCCTGACCCCACAACTCTTGCATTCTGCATGATTATCATGACCCATGCTCTAATCACCTCCCAGAGCCCCACCTATGAGCATGGGAGGCTTTGGGGGTGTTGTAGTTTGGCCTTTTGCAAGGGGAAACAATGCAATATAAGACACTTAATTAGAAGATTATTTTATAATTGTCACTTAAAGAGTCATATACAAAGACAGTGCAGGAAATCTGTCCACACATGAGAGACCAAAAAATCCAGCTGAGGGCCTGGATCCCATGGTAACGTCCTGCATGAGTCCAGCTGAAGACCTAGAGCTGATAACAGTGCCTCCCATGAGTCCAACTGGAGGCCTAGAGCCCATAACAATGTCTCGTGCAGGCCTGTTTCATGGATCTGCACTGGAAAGGTCCAAACATCAGTGGTGGAAGCTAAAAAGTCTGTGCCAACAGGATGAAGGATCTGTGCTAGTAGGCTGAGGGATCTGAACTGGAGCCAGGATGTGATGCTCAAAGTAAGAGCCAGAGCTCCCCACAAAAGTACCACAGCTATCCTCAGCAATAGTGAGGTCCTGAGCTCCTCCTCTGATGAGGATAGCCAAGTTCTCATCAGGAAAGCCAAAGTGACAAGCTTCTCCAGGAGACTGAGTAGTGCATCACCTTCTTCTCCAGAGCCAGGAAGCAATGCTCAAAGTGAAGGACCAGGGCTCCCCCAAAGTGAACTGTAGCCATTCTCAGTGACAATGAGGTCCTGAGCTCCTCCTTTGATGAGAACAGCAAGTTCATCAGGAAAGCCAGCATGACAAGGTCCTCCAACAGAATAGCCCAAGAGAATCAGCAACTCTCTAACAGCTCCCTAGCAGCTTCCTAACAGCTTTTCTCAGCTTCTTTCAGCTTCCAACAGCTCTCAACAGCTTCCCTTCTACTCTAGCTCTGCCTCTTACGCTGCCAGCAGCAATCCTTAGGTGGACCTTCTATACCCAGCAGCACACTGGTTCAGTTCAGCTGGGTGTTACAAGTTGACCACCAGTTGTCAGTCCACCACAGGGAGCTATCTAGATATAAATGATAACACTACTCCTGACAAAGCAACCTGAAAGATTCTCCTACCAGTAGTCTTCAGCCTGGGCTGCATATTGAAATCTAGAGAATTCTTAAAAAGTTCTTTTGCTGCACACCTTATCCCAATAGTCAAATTTAATTGTTATTAAGTGGCAGAACTACCTCAGGCAGAGGTAGTTCTTAAAATACCTCAGATGATTCTACATGTGGCCAGGATTGAGAGCTTTTTTTCTTTTTTTCTTTTTTTCTTTTTTTTTTTTTTTTTTTTTTGGTGGTACTGGAGATTGAACTCAGGGCCTTCTGCATGCTAGGCAAGCATTCTACCACTGAACTACATCCTCAGCCTGAGAGCTCCTGTTTCAGTGCCTACGTATCCTATCTCTTTTCTGTCTAAACCCTCCACCACTTCCCACTTTAGAGTATAGTCTGATGGTCTTCAAAGGCTATATGTGATCCAGCCTCCTGTGCCCTCTCTACCCTCCCCTTCATTAACTCCATCTCAGCCTCACTGGTTTCCTTTTTACTTGCTGAACACACTTTTGCCACAAGACCTTTGACCTTGTTCCCTCTGCCAAAAATACTGTTCAATTCCTCACCTCCTTCATGTTTTTGCTGAACTTTTCAGTGATACTTTCTTAGTTGGCCCTCTTTTTTTTTTTTTTTTT